ATAGTATTCAATAATACATTATCAGAGGGCAAAGAAAATGAAATGGGATTCTAATCCTGCTACAGTAAGTAGGAAATATAGTAATAATACGGTAACAGAGAACAGAGGAAATGAAACGAGACATCCACTCCTAATACGATAAATAAGCAATAGGGTATTCAGTAATACATTACCCGAGAATAGAGAAAATGAAACAGGACAATAAACTAAAGGAAATGCACATGGGCCTGGTTCATGGAAATAACAGCTTCCATGGGAGCTCACATCCTCAAAAGAGACAGAATCTCTCAAGCTGTCAGAGAATCCAAGGTGGGAAAGCCTTGTGCACTACTTGCTCCATATTCCAAAGATGAAAAGGAGAAGGCTGGACCATGACTAAGGTGAGAGTTGAAAAACACAACAGCAAATGAATGAGGTATTGAGTGGGAATAAAAACAAACTTCTATACTTTTATCACTAATCCCACCCACACTACATTATGTATGAGTAGACGAGTGTGATCCCTTGAATGTGAACGGGAAGAAGCAAACAGGAACCAGTTATCCATGTAATGATGAGTGTGAAAACCCAACAAGTAAAAATGTTGGGCAAATGTTTATACTGCCTGACAAAACACATAAGGAGCCAAGGTAGTCCAAACAGTAATGCCCAGAACTGGAACCATCGACCCTCGTGGACGAACCAAAGAAAACGACGTGACTCAGGAACAATGTGGATGTGAAGGTACGCATCCATCATGTCAAATTTGTTCATCCCGAGTCCCGGAGATAAGTCATGGAAGTGAAAGATAGGAGATAGTGAAAAAGGGTATCCAGAAAGAAATTCAACTGGAATAAATCAACAATAGGTCTCCAATCTCTCATCTGTTTGGGGACTACAAAGAGATGGGAATAAAATCCCGTTTGCATGGGGCACATCTGTTCAATAACTTCTTTGCAAAGCAGGGCGTGAACCACCTCGGTAAGACCCCCAAGAGATGTATGATCCCGTGGAGGTGTAAACCAGAACTGAAGGCAAAGAGCTCCAGACAGAACCAATGGATCCATTGTAAAATGCCTCCACAAACACACTCCAGAAAAGTGGTGCCATCTTGACCCTTTCAGTCCTAAACCCACTGTGGAGTCATCTATACCTTTGGAATTACTCAGCCAAAGACTGGGGAAATCGAGGGCAGGGTCGGGAATGCCAGGAGGAAGGTAAGGGCCTGGGTGAGGAAAAATGTAAGAACAAAAAGGAGGGACACATCCTGCTAGGACGTGGGAGGTTGAGATAATCATGTGGCCAGAGAAGACAAAGACGAATGCAACCTAGCCACATCAACCTTGGATTCCATAGAATCTGAAAGACCCCTAAATACAACATTGCATAAAAAGGGGCCTGAATGAGAGATGCACCCCCACAAGTAATACATCTCTCCCCAACAAGTCCCAAGTAGACAAGTATTAAAGGAAAGGGCAGAGGACAATAAATAAGCAACAGTGGACCAAAGGAGGGACCCCAAGTTAATCGGAAAAATAACTGGGAAGCGACAAAAAAAGCATCCGAGAAAAAAATGGAGGGAAGACGGATGTCTTAAAATAGGAGAGGGAAAGGCAAATGCTTGAGAGTTTTGCCTGATTAAAATGAACATTAGCTTGAAAATTCGAACTTCAAAGAGGAAGGAGATGATCCAGTTGCTGAAAATCCAAATATGAATCAGAAGAGAGATGGTAGCCAAAGCATGAAGCATGGTGGTCTGGCTGGAAAGGGAGACGGGGCATACCAACACCTGACTGTAGTTGGTTCGAAAATAAATCACTGCTCATGAACCCTTATGTGGAGTGAAGGGGAAGACAAAAATTTCGGAAGATGGAATTTCACCCATTGAGGATGGGGGAGGTAAAGGAGATAGTGGAAACATGTAATACCACATACCTGATTACAACCAGCTGTAAAAAAGAGTGAAAGGTAAAATCTCCCGACAAGATGTAGAGTGTGACTGACCAAAATAAGAATGTGCTAGAAAAACTGAATCCAAATTGTCTTCTCCTTGATTATATTCATAATCAGAAACATTGTCAAATGAGAACAAATCAACGGCCAAACGTATGAATCTAGCTACCTGCGAATTCATTCTTAATTCCCTTGCAATTTGGTAAGAATAAACATATGCAAAAAAATGAAACAATTGAATGCAAACACATAAAAAAAATTGTTGAAAAAGAAAAAAAAGTTGAAGTGTCAATGAGTATTGAGTGGGAACATGAGAGAGTTAGCTATGCCAATATAGTTGCCGCAATACTATTGGTGGAGGGTGGTCACATGCTATATACATGTTCAAAAGTGGCGCGAAATTTGTGGGGTATATAGACTAGTGTGCTGAGTGTTAAACTTTTTTAGCAATGCTTAGGGACAAGAAAGAAGATCAAGATAACTGAGGGTCAGGAGGTAAGACCATATCAGAAAAATATTAAAACAATTATGTATAGTTTGTTTTTCCTCATATTTTATACACGAAACAATAAATTCATACAAGAAATATTTGGTCGTATTAATTCAAAGAGTTTTTCATATCAGGATCACACATATGCGTAATATGTACTTACGGTTTTAATATTACTCATATTCACATATTTTGTATATTATAAAAATAATTAAAATGTGAGAATTGGATACTTTGTTTCGCTAAGGTAAAATAATTTTTAGTGGTGGTTGCGAGGTCAGACCAATCAATCGACCTCATACACAGTTAGGGTAAAGAAAATAATGTGTAATGTTTTTCTGATAAAAAAATTCTGATATTTATTTAGGGGTTATGTAAATGATATTTGAAATTTTTCAGATGGAGAAAGGTACTTTTAATCTTCACACACACACACACAATTATATAAACTAAGTACCGTTTACCCAACAGAGAACAGATATCAGAGTATAAGAGATCGTTAAATTTTTTCTTGCAAAAATCTCATTAAAATAGTTATTTGTGCATGTTAAGCGGCCCCTGAAAAAATAGACATTCACAGATGAACTACAGATAAATTACATTTACATTCGTAAAATCAGCCATTTCTTCTAACAAAAGTTCACCTCGAAGAATTGTCCGGCAGCAGGCTTGGCTCTTTCCGCACAAGGCAACTGCGAAGTACATGCGTGCATCAATAATAGGCTCACAACAGCCGCACTCTTATCTGTAAAACAAATAATAATGTGCTTTCAAAAATGTTGCCTACTACGAACCTTATTACATTATTGAAATCAAAACACTTCAATGGTAACACTTTATAAGCATCCTCCAAAGCATAAGCAGAAACTTAAAACAAACACCATATATACATAGACTTCCTAATCTGCTAACAATGCTGAACCGTTGCCAAATAACCAACAAGTTATAAGTACAGTAGTCCAGTTAATAACATGCTGACTAATAATCGCCTTCGTCACGACATATAAACCCATTGTATCTTGTGTGCGATGTTAAGAGTAAAATCAATGTGCTCACCATCTAGTAATTAAATAATACTAATAATGTCCAAGTGTGGAAATATTGAAGGGCGTTAATTTTGAAGCTGTTAAAATTGTGATGTTTAACAGTATGGCGAACATCCGAGGCAATATATTTTTACTCCACTAATGACATAAGATATTTACACTTAATTCAAAACTAGCACAATGGTTTTCATTGAACTATGACATCTGATTATTCAGTTCCCATCCAATAAAAGAAGACATCTTGAATCAGCAATAAACTGTGGTTAAATCTCAAGCATAGTCAGCAATTAAAAACTGGCCACAAACATTTTATAATTAATCTAACAATAAACGTAACTAATAAAACTGTACGCAAAGTACTCTTGAAGTTATAAAAATAAGTACAAATTATGTTTAAGAAACACTTATGCTCCCACTAATGTTACTGTATGTTTAAGTCCCCCACCCCCAAGTTTGATTGACCCATGACTTTAAAAAGTTAATCAGGTCTTAATCTTTGGATGGATGGACTTTGACCATGCTTGTAGAATAGGTTACTGCTTACAAACTTCAGTTATCCTGTTCGCAAGATCGGAATGGAAGGGCAGGGGCAAACCAATTGCCCACCTCTGCTTCAACAAGCAGTGGGTGCATAATTACAATACTGTACAAAAGTGTTAGGACAGTCAAAAAATTGATTTCAGTCTACATTCAATAAACAATGGAAAGCAAATCACAGGCGAAATATCAATTTTATTAATCTTCATTATTTAGTACAACAGAAACTCGATTCAAATGCTTGAGTTCAGCAAACAGTTCATATTTTGTGTGTACCCTTTTGCTTTAATAACTGCACAGTCTTTCATGCATCGTTGCAACATATTTAATCAAAGTGTCCCTTAGTATCTTACTCCAAATGTATTTAATAAACTCCCATAAAGTTTCTTCTGAAGTAACTTTTGATTTGTCAAGTTTTTGATCTATCAAGTTCCAGATCTGCTCAATTGAGTTGAGATTGGGCTCTGTGTGGGGTCCATTGCATCATTTGAGTGACTCCAGCAGCTTCTTTCTTAATTAAGCAATTTCTACATAGATTGGATAAGTGTTTGGGATCATTATCTTCTTGGTAGTAGAATCATTTACCAATAATACGCAAACCACTGATTATACTATAACGGATTAGTATCTGATGGTACTTGCGCTGGTTCATTATTCCATCTAATTTGCAAACATATCTCGTCGCCTCAGCAGAAACACACATCCAAACCAAACTGCCTCCCCCATGATTCATGGTTGGTGCTACGCACTGAGGTAAGTATCTTTCACGTTTCTTCCGCTGGACGTACAACCTCTGTCCATAACACCCTTTTCCAATCATCAACAGTCCAGTTTTTGTACTTCAACAAATTTCAGTCTCTCGACAATATTTGGAGATCGAAGTTTTTTTTTGTTTTTTTTTGTAACTGCTACACGACCAAATATTCAATTCTCGTCGAGACTTCTTGATACTGTAGATCTGGACACTTTCCTGTCATTTGGTACATGATTGAATCTAAGTTTCAAATGTACAGCAACTGCCTGTTGTAGAAACGAACAAATGTAGAGGACGACGTTTCGAAAGTCTTACGGCTTTCGTCTACATGGTTGTTTATCTCATGCTTGAGTGGCAGTCTTCCTTCTGTCCCGAAGGCTACATAAACGAAGATACTTAACATCAGTATTGAGTTTCGGTGTCCTGCCTTTTCTATTTTCAAATATATTTGTATCGGTCTCACGATCTAGGGTGTACTTGATAACGCAAACGCAAAATACCTCAACGTCGTGATTTTCATTTTACATGATCCATCTAATTAAAGCCACACGACACACGAACATCAATTAAAGAAAAAAAGTAGTTCCCTTTGGCTTAGCTAGGTTTGATATCTAGAAATCGATTAATGCAATTAACTTTTAGTACGATTAACAATCAGGACAAACCGATAAATTCACACCGAAACTAGTACATATTGTGTATTTAAAGCTAAAAACAAATAATTTGTGCACGCCGGTTTCAATTTCTACTTCGAAGATATGCGTACAGATTTAGCTTGTTTAGCAATTAATAAATTCCATGTTAGTTGTATATTATATTCGTGTACTTTAATAATCCAATTGGTTGATAAACTTTTGTACTTTTAAAAACAATTCTTTTTTTTCCAAGTCGAGTATAAACCCTCTGAATACAGATCAAAAAGTCGATAGCAGAAACAAAATCTCAAATATAAAAGCCCTAAAATATATACTTCACGAGAGAAGGAGAGGGTAACCATGACAACCAGATGCGGATAAATGCAGCTTTTCTTAGCTAAAAGCTTGAAACTGCAGCTCAACAGCAATACAGTGTTGTGCACGAGAAATCAATAATTGAGTTACTCGTCAAAAATCGATCACTCTTGTTGTGTGAAGACGTTCCACGTAAAACCACGATTTTTAAATTCTCTAGCTGCGTTATTTCGCACCTGGGCAAGCTTCCGTTCCGTGTAATTTCTACAACGAAGAACAAAAATTGGATGAAAATAATAACCAATGAAATTTAAAAGTCGCTTAAATCCGATATCTTAAGCATGTTACTAAGAATACACCATATCAAAGACGTTTTCTGGAATTTATGAATTGAAAAACAAATAAAAACAATTATATTTCATGTTAAAAAAACAACAACAACCACATTTTGGTCATTTATCTTTAATATTTAAGTAAAAGTTTTGAAAACAAATGCAATCATATCTTTAACTTATTTAGAAAAAAAAATTCAAGAGAGAAATACCTACATCATCATACTATCAGAATCCTAGATACAAAGAACTTTGAGAAATCAGAAAAATTCTGCAAAAACTTATTCTTTTAACCTCATGAACTGCACTAGTTCAACAGTAAGTATTTGCAGAATTAAATTCAGTTAAAAACTTGTGGCAGAGTTTTAAAATATTTCAAAGTTTTTCAAATACATTAATCCATCATTCTTCATGTAGTTATGTCCAATGTACTTGCACGCCCAATGTATGAATGTGTTAAAATGGCTCCAACAGTTTCTAGTAGTTCATAAAAGCAATTTTTCCAAGATTTTATCACCTGGAAATTGAAAAATTGAAGTAAAAAAACATTGAAAACTGTGCCTAAAAACTGAACAAAATCTCACAACGTAGATGTTAATTTCTCACCATCATCTACACTATTAACCTATGATGAATCATACACATTTTATATACTATTTTATATTGCAATTACACAAAATGGTTTCTTTGTACAGCACATTTCTGGTACTTTTATCTATGAAACAAACCAAAAATGCCTAAAGTGCAATGCCTACCTGTTGCATCTTCTCAAAATCCAGACATGGACGATGAATGTTACTTCTGCCATTGCTGTTGGTCAGAGTTTGTCGATGTTTCTTCCTTGAAGAGGTGTTAGAGGATGAACATAATTCAAGAGCCGGGATGTTGGCAGTTGTCAAGTGCAAAATTTTGAGGGGAGGAGACAGAGATTGATTTGGTTTGTGTATATTTGCAGGTGGGGAAGCACAAAACTCCACAGGAGCCGAAAAACATAAAAGGTCCCGTATTTCATCATCAGATGAGCCAGAGTTTTCAAAAAAACTAGGACAGTTTGCTTGTGACCACTTTCTTTTCTCAGGATAGGTACTACTACTTCTTCCCCTGCTGACCAGGTTATTGGTACAGTTTATCACTCCCAGCTCATCCTCAGAGCTATGTGGTTCCAAATTATGGTCACTGTCACGGGGAAAAGCAGAGTCAAAGATGGGCTCTGGTAATGGTCTGTCCACCTCCGTCTTTGAGATTTGGTACAATTCGCGCCTTAACTCACAAATAGTGTCTTTGCACTCGCCTGTTTCTGCAACAAGAGTTTCCACAAATTGATGTTGGTCTTTTCTTTCTTTGTAATGCATCCTATTTTCCATGTCTGTAAAAGCAAAAAATAATTATTCATCAATCCTACAAGTACATGCATACACACACAAAAAAAATGCAATGGGGAGCTTTGAAATAAGCAACGTTTAAAAACTGAAAGTTTTCAAATACCAAGCTCCTTTTTTAGTGTATGTGCACATGGTTCCATTATTAATTAATTTCGTATTTCATTTATAAAGTTAAGTGGTTTTGTCGAAACGTTGTACATTTGCTGTTATGTTAAACTTATAAAGTTTTCTTCATTACCCATCCAAGCCGTCTCCAACCATTATTTGATGTTCAAGTATTCTGCTTGTAACGAATTTATTATTGTGTATTTATTGTTAATATGAACGTTGTTTGGATTGAATTTGTATTTAGAA